GGGGGTGGGCGGGCAGCATAGCGCCTGCGTGGGAGGTGGGGGGTTGGGGAGCCCGCCCAGAGCGCTCTGGGACGCATGCGCCACTAGGGGCTAAGGCGCTACCTAGAGCGCGGGCGACTGTGGGCTGGGCGTCCAGCGAAGCAAAGCTGTGTTTGAAAATGTTTATTTCCTTTGCTTAGCTCCTAATCCCCAGCAGGCGGAGCAGAGGACTTCTATCCTTTTAGCGCGAGGCCAGTCAGTTTTATTCTGGAGAAGTTAGTCTTTTCCCCTGTATTTTTTTGTTTGTTTGTTTTGTTTTAGTTTTTTTGGTACCGGGGATTGAACTCAGGTCCTTGCGCTTGCAAGGCAGGCCACCGAACCACTGAGCTAAAATCCCCGGCCCTAGTCTTTTCCCTTGTAACCTAGAGGCAGAGAGAAAACCTTTGAAAATAACTCCGACTTTCGAAAAATATCTGAATGTGATAGTTCCTCACCTGTCACGCAGAGTAAGCTCATCCTCAGGCAACACTGGAACTTCGCAAGCTTCACATCTTCATCAACCTTAGCAATTTTCTTTTGGGTGTGTCTTCCATTAAAATTGGCCAAGCAGAAAACTAGTATAAAAAATCCGAAGAATCATGTTTTGCTTGTATTTTTAAATTCATTTTAACGTTGAACTATGGATACATCCCGTAAACAAACGAATAAATAAATTAAAAGGGTCGCATGAGTCCAGGAACTTGAGGTCAGCCTGCCCAACGTAATGCGACCCTGTCTCAAAAAAGAAACAAATACCATAAACAAATCAGCAAAGACGAGAAAAAACTAAGATCGCCATTTCGTGGTATTAGTATAGTGATTTTTTCTTGCACTTTTACCTATTTAAACTCACATCAGTACCTGTTTTTTATTTATCATGAGTAATAAAAGACATTTATACAGTATTAATGAAACATTAAAACATGGGTGTGGTACTGGGCCTGTCATTAAACAGGCTGAACCTGTCATTAAATCCTCTTCTAAAGAAAAGCTTAAGTGCTTCTTTTCCTCCTAATCTTCCTCAGTTTGACTCAACATATTTATTGTTTTAAAGATTAAAAATATTATAACTGATACTATATTTCAAATCAGAAGAGAGCCACAAATTATCTGTTGCCTAAAAACTGCACAAGAGGGGACCTCTCCCCACACTGAATAGTTCTTATTTACAAGATCATTTAAGTGCTGAGCTTAACAGGGAGGCCAATCCATTTTTTATTCAAAATTTAGAGGAAAAAAAAATTTTTTTTCAATAGCTCACAGCTCAAACTTCCCCTGAAGGGTAAGGAAAAGCTCACTTGTCTTGGGAGAGGTGAATGGTGAGGAAGGTCTAGTCCTTGAACCCCAACAGGGCTGGACTAACTTTACAAGAAAAGGAAGGAGCCAATATTCCAATTTCTCACTTGTTCCCATCCTACCTCCATATCTTAATTTTGAGTTTCTTCATTCTGTTTTTGTTTGTTTGTTTTTGGTACGAGGGGTTGAACTTGGGCCCTTGCGCTTTTGAGGCGGACAGTGGCACCACTGAGCCAAATCCCCGGCCCTCTTCATACCATTTTTTACTCGTATTTGAACTTCCACATCTGTTTGGAGAAAATGTCCTTTTATTAGTTGATGACCACTTCAGAAGTTTGGGGAGAGGAACAGAAATCTCCTTCAGGGAGAAAAACATAAACAAGTTGTTTTTGTCTGACTTGGGAACTAGTCGTCAGAGACACTGTAGTAGGGATTACAGGTGTTCTGGTAGAATGAGCAGAGGAAGAAAAAAAAGATGGCTGGTGGGAAACCAGAGCCTTTGAGATGAATGGTATTGGTGTTTTGCCAGGAAATGAGAGCTGAGTCATCACACTGTTAATGAATGTGGTAACAAATGGATATTTTCATCAGAAAAGCCTTAACTGCTTTGAAATTTAGGGCATAGTCAAATGTAACACCACAGACTGACTTTTAAGAAGTGGTGGGAACTTCTCTCTAATGGATCCAATAATTAAATTTAGTTCATCAGAACCTAACTCAACATGTCCTATATTCTAGGAGTTCACAACTGAGTAAGATATATATGTCCTAGCTTTTAATAAAATCTCCATAGTGGCGTTCAAAACTGATAGAGAGGGCCTGAGATTTAGATCAGTGTTTCCACTGCCTGCTTCGCAAGTGGAAGGGCTCGAGTCCATCCCCAGTACCAAAAAAAAAAAAAAAAAAAAAA